CAACAAAAGCCATGGGCAGGGTGTGGGGTTCTGTTATTATTACATATGTTCCATATTTGATGATTTTATAATAAAGAAAGAACGTGCAACAAACCGGGATGGATTTTAGGTCGGGAACCCCACTGCTCATTAATGTGTTCAAAGATGGTGATACGGCATAGCAACGCATGTCAGTGAAGAATGCGTGTCACTGTCTGTATGAAAATAAAATAATCAGATGTCAAATCTGATTCACTGTCCTAATAAATAACTTGTGGAAGTTTGGTTGGGGCCACGGCAGAACCAGAACTTGAAGTGGACAACTGTAATACACAGTTTATGTTAAAGTTAAATGTTCCTCCACAGATCTGTGCATTGGCAAACAGGCCGTGCAGCTGCGGTACTACACTGACAGGATGACTTTCGTCAACAGCGGTTGTCACTGAGCTGCACACCACAACTGTGTTTGTGATGTTGCTTGCTGGTTGTGGATTGAAAGAGTCTTGCTTTCCTGATAAAATGTTGCTCATTTGGCGTTGATGATCTTTATTTGGAACTGAGTATCTGTTTAGACTGCTGACATTTTTGTGTCCACTTAGTTATGCTGCCGTGTTTGGAGGCGTTGAACACAGGTTTTACATGCGCTGTGGTTACTCAGTTTGCCAGTTAAGTCTGCTGCTTTCGACCTTGACTTCATGATCGTAGTCAGCTTATTTTTGCCCATAGGTTGATTTCAGGACCATATTCCCTTAGCAATGATACATGGGACATGCTCAATTCCAAGGTAGAATGGCGCTGAACTGCAGTTCATTCTGTCTGGTCGATGAGCTGCGTTTGCTTTGTAGGCACGAACTGGGCAAATGTCCGATGTTTTTGGTGTAGCATATGCCTTCGGTGCAAAGCTCCTAGTATTACCAGGCTCTCTGTGACGAGTTTTGGTGAGTCTCTCATTATATACTAGAAACTCTCCATTTTCGTCACTCTGTAAGACTACATCACCCCATTCCATCTGACTGTGTTCATTGTTTCCATGCAAACCGAAAAGCTTCGTGTTATACCACACTGTGTTGATGATGGCTGTTGCGGAGTCTACACCAAGCTGCCCAGCTTTCAGTAATGCCTCCTCTTGATCTTTCGTGATTGGTTGTGATTTGTTGGGCAAATTACCAAATCCAGAAGCCTTTTAATGTTTTCTTTCAGCGGCCAATGTGTGGCGACTTGAAGCAAATGCATCGCCACGAATGATGCTAACCCCGTAATCATTGTCACGCAAATACCGGTCGATTGATTTTTGATACGTTGATATGGAGTCCGACTCATATTCGTCACCGTTTTTCTTACGAATACCAGGATAGAATTGTGACAGAAAAGCATCTAGGTGGGATGGTGGTATATCCTTAAGGTCACGCTTTTCTTGTGTCATAGACTTCTTCCAATCGTTAAACACAGCTACTTCACGCTTCGTTTTCATCGCCGTATTCCGTTTTCTGCTCGTTGACAAACATAGC